CACACGAATCAGATGAACATATTTCACACAGGGAAAGATTTTTTTTTTTTTTTTAACTGGGAAATCTTGTTTTCATGTCAGTAGAAGCCACTCATTGTTTATACACTCTAATGTAACTCATGTCAGCAGTGGGCAAAGATTGCAGTTGAAAAGTTTAGTTCAAGCAAACAACACCATGCTTGAACACGACAAGATTTCATTTTAGCAGAGTGTGAAAAGCTGCTAAGTATGCAATGGACACTTGCAATTTAGTGTAAAAGTGGGGAAGGAGAGTATTTTTTTTTTTATGATTTGTTTTATTTCTTTATTCTTTATTCTTTATTTCTTGAAGTCTTGACTACATATGAACTTGCTAGTTGTTTTCGGCAAGTGTTATAGAATCATAGAATCATAGAATCTTTGGGTTGAAAGGGACCAAAGGGTTGAAAGTCCAACCCCCCTGCAGTAAGCAGGGACATCTTCAACTAGAGCAGGGTGCTCAGAGCCCCGTCAAACCTGACATGGAATGTTAGCAGGGATTCGGCATCTACCACCTCTCTGGGCCACCTGTGCCAGGGTTTCACCACCCTCATTGTCAAAAATTTCTTCTATATATATCTGGTTTGAATCTACCTTCTTTTAGTTTTAAACCATTACCCCTTGTCCTATCGCAACAGGTCCTGCTAAAAAGTTTGTCCCCACCTTTCTTATAAGCCACCTTTAAGTACTGGAAGGCTGCAATAAGGTGTCCCCGGAGTCTTCTCTTCTCCAGGCTGAACAACCCCAACTCTCTCAACCTGTTCTTCTGAGTTCTTCTCAGAAGAGAACTGTTCTTCTCAGTTCTGTGAAGTTCAGCAAAGAACTGTTCACTTCTCAGTTCTCCAGGCTGAACAACCTGTTCTCATAGCAGAGTTGTTCCATCCCTCGGATCATTTCTGTGGCCCTCCTCTAGATCTGCTCTGACAGGTCCATGTCTCTCCTGTGCTGAGGGCTCCAGAGCTGGCTGCTGTACTGCAGGTGGGGTCTCATCAGAGCAGGGCAGAGAGGTAGAATCCCCTCCCTCAACCTGCTGGCCACACTGCTTTGGATCCCAGGTGTTCTGGGCTGTGAGTGCATGTTGTGGGCTCATGTACAGCTTTTCATCCACCAGTACCCCCAAGTCCTTCTCTGCAGGGCTGCTCTCAATACCTTCATCCCCCAGCCTGTATTGGTACCGGAGATTGCCCCAACCCAGGTGCAGGACCCTGTACTTGGCCTTGTTGAACCCCATGAGGTTCACACAGGTCCAATGCCCATGTCTGTACAGCAGTGTCAACTGAAATATAGTCCAACTATTTTGCCTTGTGGATTTTTGAAAGGGACACATTTTGCGTTTTGCTTTGCATACAGAGCAGTCACCAAAGATGACAAAATTTTTTGTTGGGTATTATGGTAGTGTATGTCATTTTGATATCTTAAAAATCCCAAACTGAAAATTCCTGGTTGGCCTTCTGACCTTCATCCCTTACATTTTACTTCTGTGGCAAATCCTCCCACCTCCCATAATTCTGATTATCTGAAATATTGTGCATATTGCATGTTGTTCATTAGAATATAAAGATCCATTGAATGTAGGGCTTGTGGGTAAAGCTGAGTTAATAACCATGCCTGAAAAGATACGTCTCTGCTGAGAACACTTTTTGATGGAGTTTCTGTGTGATTTCCAAGTGCTTTTTGCCCTTTTTTTTTGGTGATGTCAGATTTTTTTGGGGGGTGTGTGGACAGTTTGCCTCCCATGCAAATGCAGATTGCACTTGGAATATACCATCCCAGTCTTAGCATAACTCCTGTTCCAGCTCTTGTTTAAGGGAAACACTGTAACTTTGTTTTCTTGGGATGGATGAATGAGGTATGACTGAGGAAAGAACCTTCCAAGGAGTCTTCGATGGCAGGAAGAAGGAGCCTGTTTCTTTCATTAAACAAGTCTAAGACTAAATGTTTGCAAGTCACACATGAGTGACTGGTGGAGATGCAGAGAACCTTGCCTAGCTTTTCCTGTCTGTTCCCATACAAGGGCTTTTCATGACCACAGAGACTGCTTTTGCATGCCACTCCTTTAGTTTAGAGGGCTGAGACACACTGGCAAGTGCTGTCCCCTCTTCAGGACACAATGTTGTTGCCTGGGTGGTGCAGGGCAGTTGTGATGCAGCCCTAAAGACTGCCATGTCTTCCCTCTGCTAAGTGACAGCTTTCATGTCTATTACCTCATTTTAGTCCACTACCTTTTACAGTTTTCTTGGAAGGTGCTAATATGTTATTCTGGTATTTTCCATGTCAATTCTAGACGACAGAAGAGATGGGAAACAATCCAACTGCTGCTTCATCGAGGTGCAGATCTCAATGCATCCTGGGTCCCACCACACCTTCTGTTCTTTGCTGTTAAAGCTGCAGATGCAGAAGCAGTGAAACTCCTCTTAGAAAGGGGAGCCAGGACTGATGTGCGGCTTCCATCCAAGGTTTTACTGTATTATAATCCATAATGTGGGATTCTAGATGTGAACTGCAGCTTCAGTGCCCGACTGTAAAATATCCTGCATGTCAGAATCAGATTTAGAATGGCCAGAAAGGTGTTTAAAGTGATTATCCTGTTCAATTTTTTTTTTTAATGGAAAGAACTCAAAGCTCCTTACTCTCCAAGTATTTTTTTTTCTCATTGTTTCCTGGTTACCAAGCTTGTGAGTAGCTGGGGAATACTTGGGAAGCTGCTCCTCAAGTTGGTAATAGCTGTTGTGATATTTAGTCGGCTTAGTGTCTGGGTCCTTTTGTGTTTCACAGTCCTGTAACTCTAGGCTCTAGGTTTATGGTGACTGATTGTGAGACACAGCATGTGGGAAGAGCAAGCTTGGGTTATTCTTTGAAAAAAATATTTAGTACTGTTTAAGTGCTGCTTGTGATAAACAGGAGTCTTAATGCTATGTTTGTGTTTTCAGTTAGGGGGGTTAACTCCTCTCCACATAGCTGCCTCAATTCCTGGGGCGGAAGGGGTCCAGATAACACAATACCTCCTGCATACCGCCCCAGACCTTAATGCAAGGGCAGAAGATGGAAATGAGATATACGGTCCAGACAAGGTATGTTGCTTTTTGAGCTCATCTTCCTTCAGCTGTTGGAATTCAGCTTGCACAGGACCAGATTACACAGATTATACAGTTTACAGCAGGGAGCTGAGATGCCTGCCTGCTTGATTTCACAGTGAAATCTTTGCATTCCACTGATAGAACCTTTAAAAGAAAAAAGCCCCTTGAGGTCTATAGTGTTGGGTTGCCGTAAACATATCTTTCTGGTTTTGGTGCTCCAGAACATTTTACTATCATGCCTTATTAGAAGTCTCTTGTGTGTAGTCCAGTACAAATGACTGAAGATATGATGGCAGAAACAGATATGTCTGTGATGGGACTTGCTTGTTTCAACTCCATGGAGCTGGCCTAATACTTCTTTTCTTTCCTTATTTCTCTTTTCCTTGAACCCATGCTGTCTCTGCTAGTTTCCTGCTGTGCCTCCAGGTTGCAGGAGGTCAGCCTAGCAGTAGACTTTTGTGGTAGCCTACCAATTTTTAGTTGGAGTTGCCATTTTTGATGATACTGCTGATGGAGCTATACCAGCAATGTGTGCTTTTTCTGGCATTTGTTACCTGAGAAATTACTTAAAGTTGTAAGCAAAATAATGTAGTCACAGAACAGTTGAAAGATTGGAAAGGACCTCTTCAGATTTTGTAGTATAATACCCTTGCTCAAAGCAGGATCAGTTACAGCAGGTTACTCAGGATCAAGTCCAACTGGAAGGGTGGAGACTCCACAACTTCTCTGGGCAACCTGTTCTAGTGGCAATGCTTGTCGTAATGCACCCCAGGATGCTGTTGACCTTCTTTGCTGCAGGGCTGCATTGCTGGCTCACGTTCAAGACCTCCAGGTCCTGTTCTAGAAGTTTTTTTCCATCTGGTCAGGCCCCAGTATGTACTGGTGCCTGAAGTTATTCCTCCCCAGGTGGCAGGGGAGGAATACAACAATTTCCTTTTGTTGAATTTAATAAGATTCCTCTCTGCACAATTGTCCAGCCTGTCCAGGTCCCTCTGAAAAGCAGTACAACTGTCTGATGCATTAAACCACTCTTCCCAGTTTTGTATCATCTGTGTACTTGCTGAGGGTGCACTCTGTTCCAGCATTGAGGTCACTGATGAAGACATTAAATAGTATCTGCCCCTGGGGTATAGCACAGCTGGACTTTGCGCTGCTGATCACAACCCAGGATCCACTCTCACTGTACAATTGTCTAGTCCATACTTCTTCAGCTTGTCTATGAGGACGTTATGGGAGACAGTGTTGAAAGCCTTGCTAAAGTCAAGGTAAACAACATTTACTGCTTTCCCATCTTTCACCATGCTGGTCATCTTATTGTAGGTGGCTATCATGTTTGTCAGGCATGATTTCTCCTTTGCAAATACATGCTGACTGCTTCCAGTCACCTTCTTACCTGTAGTATGTCTGGAGATGGCTTCTCAGAAGACTTTTCCATCAGTTTCCCATAGGCTGAGGAGAGCTTGTAGTTCCCTGGCTGTTCCTTCCATTTTTCTAGAAATGCAAAGAAATTCCTCAGAAACCTCCCTTTCTCACCATGACCATTTAGAGGTAACCAAAGTGGCCTTGCAATGACATTGGCCAGCTCCCTGGCATACCATCAGGTCCCAATCACTTAAAAAAACACTTGGCTTATGTAACTAGAATGATAAAATTTATCTTGTCATGACAAGGACTAAGGTGAATGTTTGCAGGACAGGGAGATTTAGATGGCTTTGTCAGTTTGTATTTTAGTACTTTTTCCTTTAGTAAACAAGAGAACTTAATACCTATTTATCAACAGTACTTAGTGACAGAATGCCCAGACTCGGTGTTAGGCAAGATTTACTTTCTCAAATAACACTTTTGTTTTTTATATTGATCTGGCCACCCTATATTCATAGACCTTAAATGAATGACATGTGAATGAGCTTGATTCAAGGCAGGTCCTTTGTGCCTGAAAGCTTGCTTCTTCCTTCTCTCTACGCTGTATCGTTTGGCCCAGTAAAAGTTATTAACATCTATCTCTCAAATTTGCCTTCCCTAGACTTCTCCAGTGGTTTTATTAAACCTCATAGTGTGCAGTGCAAAAGCAGTCTAGCAGATGAGACCTGAATGTAGAGAAGGAAGTAGAAAAAGCGTGGCTGTTGTTTTTGTGGGGCTGAAGAAGTCTTGTCCATGATCGAGATCCAAACCAATGGGTGACCAGGCAGGTTTCTTTTCTGTTAACTTGTCTTCAAGCTGTTGTGCAAATGGGCACATTGTTTCACTTACATTCTCCAGCCTCAAGCCAGAGAAGCCAGCTTGACATGTGGTGTCACTTTGCAACTGAAAGATGAAGCAGGACCACCACAGGAGTACTTTTCCTCCTATAGTGGTCCTGTCCCTGAAGAAGGTGGAAGGAGTGCATTGCACATTGCATGTGAAAGAGAGGATAACAGTGAGGTAAGATCTAAGCATCTAAGCATCTAAGGCTCTGCTCATAGGGAGTAGTTCTAAGCTAATCTCAAATGACATAACTTGGCGGTGAAGACATTTCATCCTTCTGTAAGGAGCTGATTGAATAACATGAATAAACTAATTTTCTACTGAATTATTATCATTGTACTGATTAAAAATCTATTAGCAGTTGAGGAAAAAACATTTCTTAAATCTTTGGAGTTCTGTTTGACTAGAGAAACTCCTTTAATTGAGTTTAATCCTTTTATCCTTTAATCCTTTTCCATTGTTTAATTTGTCATTAACTTAATCATCCACAAGGCCAATTTGAAGTTGGACAGTCTTACTTTTGGCATGTACTAACCTCTGTGCATATGATTTTATATTTTAGTAACATTCTTCTAGCAGACTTGGGATGCATACAGTTGGAGAAAGGTATTTGAGAGGAGACCTACTTCTTCAGAAGCAAAGCTACACATTCATTCTGGTGGCAGGACTAATGAGATTTGATAATCTGGTTGTGAATAGGTTTCATGTATAGCACCACTTATGCTTGGGGTTCTCAGTCATTAGAAAGTGGATGTATATTTTTACTGTAATATCATAGTTTAGGTGAAAGGTTTGAATGTGTTTTATGCTGCTCATTTTATTTATTTTACTATTATTATTACATTTAGTATTAATAAGTTAACTTTATTATGATCTAATTCTACCTTTTCCCACTGCACTTGCCTACAAAGCATGCCAGAGATGTTATCCGCCTCCTTTTAATGCATCAGGCAAATCCAAACACATTGTGGAGTGGCCATTCACCACTTTCCTTAGTAATTGCCAGTGGGAATGACTTGGTGAGCATCTTTAAGTTCCTTCATTTTTTTGCGGTGTACTTATCCATTCATGTCTGCCTTTTCTGATGACAGCCAAACTACATAATAAGTGGTGCTTGCAATCATACATTTTCAGTGAAAATAATAAAGTTTTTACTTTTCTTTCAAACCTATGGATGTTTCATGAGCCCAACTAGAGAAGTCCTAAAGGACTATAGTATGAGGTAGCCAGAAATATTTGGGTAGGACTCAGAAGGGACTAGCATTTGGACAACTGTGTTCATTTTATGAATCACAAGAAGATTCAGTTCTCTTATAGGCTGTGTCCCTGCCCAGAGCAACTGAACCAAACACCAAAACACTTGCTTCTGGTGTTTAAAGTGTTCTTACCTTAGATGGTAAGAAGTATGCTGCTCTATGAAAAGATTAATGATCAGTGTTAGAAAGGATTTGGTGGTAATGAGACTTGGCACTCCATAGATGAGGCTTACAGTTCACACAAGTAGAATTCATTGTGTCAAGTCAGCACCTGACTCCGCAAGCCGGGAATGGACTCCCTTCTGCCCATACTGGGCACATAAGAGCAGGTCTGCGGCAGCCAGCATGGTGCAAGAGAAGATATGCAGCCAAAGCAGGTGATGAAGCTGATGTGTTTGCAGTGCTCTATTTCTCTTCGAATAGAGCTTGGTGTGCCCAGGCTCCTGGCTCATCTTCTTTGTGGAGTGCAAGGCAGGTGAAGGATGGAGTGAGAATGGCACCCTGGCTCCCCACAGAGCTCAGCAGTTGTGCAGCCAGCACACAAGGCCATGGCAAGGACACCTGTAAGGGGGCA